CCCTTTCACTCTGGCAGTCCCCAGCCTCTGAGCCTCGTGCTTCTCCCCTGGACCACCCTGGCAGCCTCAGCTGTGGGTGTCCTTCCCTCTGATTTGGTTTCTCCCTTCTCCTGCTGGTGCCAAGACCCCCTCCAGCAGCCCAGGCAGCCCTTGTTCCTGCACGTATTACCTGGGGCAACACCGATGAATAAAGAAGGCTCATCCAGTCCATTTCTCTGGATTCCTGTAAGCGTTCCTAGAACAGAGCTCTGTGGAAAGACACTGTGAGAGGATAGAGAAACCTATGTTGATATTTCTTTTGAAGGTAGCAGATTCTTAGTCTCATTCAAGCCCTAAATTGAGTCTAGGAGCAGGCTTCTCTTAAACACATTGTGTTCTCTTCTATTAGTATCTTGTCCTATCCAGTAAAAGCATTTAACAAAATATACTTTTGTAGGTCTTACGTTGAGTCTTCCTATACATAGATATTTGATAAATAGGCTGAGTTAGTGATTATAAAAGTACATTTCAGTTCAATGAGTTCACAGCTTCCTAGAAAATTCTTTTTCTTTAATTTTAAGCAAATTTGTCAGTGACATCAGTTATTAATCAACCCAACATCTAATTAAATTTAGCACAAACTCCCGGGTTTTGTTTGAAATAGTTCAAGCAGAAAGTTATTCTAGATGAATATGCTCTTCTACCCCACCCCCACCTCACTTCTAGAAATGGGGGAGACACAGAGTTCCCTCATTTTTTAAGACCAAAGGCCAGGCACCTGCCTTCCAGCATAGATGGGTGGCTCAGCTCCAGCCAGGATCCACACTACTGAGTTTCCTTGTCAGGGGTGAGGCAGGAAGGGGCCATAGAGCCAGGGAAAACATGGGACGGAAGGAGCCTTCAAATTGTTACCTTTTGGTGCCTCCAAGTTTCTTGGGCTTTGACTTCTGAAGTAAAGATTAGGTGTTTAAGAGCTGGAGATAGAGCCTGTGTATTTCTTGGAAACATATGCTCTTACTGGAATTGTTTCTTTTTTGTTCACTACACAGGACAAAATATAGAGGCAGTATACCACTTACCTGTATAAGAATAAAAGGGACTGTGAGCACCGAGATCTCTTGTCTTCCCTGAGTCCTTTATTTTTCAACTTGTAATGCATCCAAAGGATCTAACAAGGGGACATATTATCTAATTATATAAAAGGAAATGCATTTAGGTTCCTTTAACAGGAGCATAATTTTAACCAGGTACATACCAAAACTGTTTCCCTATGTTCCAAGTTAATTTCTGGTATGATTTCGCTGTAGTTTACTGGCTCCTCTTAATCCAAGAGGTATGAGCCCTTGATCTAAAAGTCCAGTTCTGGTATTCCAGGATTCCAGTAAGGTCCTGCACTTGCAGTGCCAAACGGCCTGATTAAACACTGATAAATGTTTCTTCCAAAATGCAATAAGAACAAATAGTTAAGTGCACAGCCTTTGGGGATTTCTGCTGTTTGAAAACCTGTGCGCAGCACTTTAGAAGGCCATTGAGCTTCAGGAAGATGATGTCTGTACCTTGGTGAAACAGTGCCTGGGTTTTCCTTTTTGTTGGCTACCTCATTTTCTTCCAATGTATTTTCTTTTTTCCCTGGTGGAAAGGGGAAGCAGATGCCTCTAAATTTTGATATTTCACAGCAAACCTTAAATCCTATTGTCTTCCATGTGTGGAGAGGTTGATTTGTAGCTGCTATCTTTCTCTTCCTAATAGACCTTGCGGGTGGTAAAGATCTCAGGGAGTGAAACATTAAAAATGAATGAGGAGAACTGGAGCAGTTTGTCTGAGGTGGGGTTTGAGAGGGCCTGGGTGGGGGAGGTTTAACAAAAGGCATTGATGTTTTAAATGCACAGAAATGCCGTGCATCAATAATAAATGGTGTGGCCTAGAACAGATGTGCCAAATTGAGTTATTACAGCATATGGATCTGTTCATAAAGGGAGAAAAGGAAGCGGCATAGCTGCTGTTTATAAATTATCTGTTGGAGAGCTTCAGAACACAATTTTGAAGATCCTCTTTTTACAAAGCTCTAATAGCTGCTTGGAAATACAAAAATGTTTGGAATTTCCAAAAATTCTGATGAATTTTTGAATGTTTTAAAAGTAAGAATCATTAAGAATGAGAACGGGTAAATTTTGTTTTTCTGAAGGGGCAGACAGAATCTGAAAATGAATTTCTGGCCCTTGATGGTTGAGTGCTTGCTGTTTAAGAGCATGTGTTGTAATTATATGAGGAATGAAATTACATTACAAAACTTAAGTCATGTGAAACTGTTACCTAGAGCTTTCTACATTTACCTTGATGGCATCTCTAGATACATACTGGGACGACAGAGGCCCTCAGGAAACCCTTCTCATGCTTTGAGATCGATTCATCACCCTCCGCATTTTCATTCCCAGGCTCTGGGAGGGTTATTTCACGCACAAGAGGAACAAGAGATCTATCAGCTTCCTTGTCTCGTAGAGAAAATCACTCCCAGGAACTTGGACAGACTTACCTGTTGGATAGGCTGGAGTACTTTGTAGGTGTAGATGCCAGTGCAGAGGTCAGGCTTCGAGTTGCACTTACCTTGTGAAGGTGCGTCACAGGCATGGAAGAGGGTGGTCGTGTGTGAGGGTCTGCAATGAGCCCAGGGTTGGAACTGGCGTGCGTACTGAAGACTTGGTGAGACACGTGGAGTGACTCCACTCACCGTAATGCTGACCCTTGCTTGCCTTTTTGGAAACCTGTGTGGAATTGGATCTGTCTCCTTTGTTGTCCCAGCAAAACTAATTCCTCTTTGTTTTTCCCAAGGTGAACAAAAAAGTTCTTAATTCTTATAAATAATGCCAACTCGGTTTACATTTGAGGTTTGTTAGACTAGAAAGACAAATTGCTTAGCTGTTATAGAAGAGTCTGTGGAATCTTTGGGAATGTTCTAGTTGAAAATGAGGATAGTGATTATATGAAAAGTCTGTTAGTAACTCTTATTTTAGCCATTTGTACTAACTTTCAACTCTTTCAGGTGCAGAATTTATTTGAATTAATCTTTTCACCTCCAAGAGATCCTAGCTTTCCTTAAAAATAAACAAACTTGTCAGACTGTCTTCAGAGCCACCGAATAAATCTATTTTATAGTCCCATTAGATAATCTAGCTCAAAATCCATTCACTCAGGAAGGTCCTGTGGTTCGATGCACAACAAATTCCCTGAGATCATCTCTGGTACACCTCCTTGGGTTGTTGAGAAGGTGTTGAAATGTGAGAAGGCTGGTAGTGAGATTAAACTGTGGCTCCGGGTAATTAGGGAAGGAGAAATCCTAGCGTTTTCATGGTACATTGTCTGGCCTTGGGTTGCAGCTGCAAACAACGGATATGAATCTAACCAGTTGCCCCAGTGCAGCTGGTTCAGATCCGGCTTTAAAACGGGCTGAAGTAAAATGAAATGGCTGGAAAATTCCAGTCAAGTAACACCAGTGGGAACATGTGGAATTAAATAGTGTGAGCAAATACTAGCTGAGCTGAGGGAAAAAAAACTTCAGACATAAACTTCAGGGTGGCGGTGAGGACTTGTAGAGAGAGGGATGGGGAGGGGGCCAGGGCATTTGCTGGCCTTTTTTAACAAGGGTCTATTGTTTTGATTAGCTCCCTTGCAGGAGGTGGTTTCCTCCATCCAGAGTAATTTGTAGAGTGTTTGGCCTGTCTACCTCCTCCTTGACTGAAGTCACCTGATACTTTTTTTTTTCTCCTCCAAGAAGAAAGAAAAATAAGCTGTTACCCCAGTTACTGACAATAACACAAGTCTCAAAATGTAGTCCTTTTTTTTGTGTGTGTTCGGGACAATTTTCCCACCTCGTGTGCCCAGGAGGCCCTGGCTCTTCACAGCCCTCTGCCTTCCACCACCTGCACCAGAGAGTGTGTCCGGAGGCCACGCTGCTCAGAGGTTCAGTGGGGTTGTTTTTAAATAATTGTTCTGATTGTTAAAAAAAAGAAAGTGGCCTCACTACGAGGAAGCTTGTGCATTGTCAGTAGTTTGTCTCTCCGTGAATTATCTGCTGTTTGGAGGGTGGAGAGCTGGCTGGGGAGAAGACATCCTGAGAAGCTGAAGGGCCGTGTGCTGTTGGGAGGAAACCTTTGCTGGAACCAAGTTCCGGGTATTTATTCTCTGCCCGTGTTCGCGAGCTGTATTTGCCAAGTGATTTCCCTGTCACAGGGATTAGCCAGTCATGTGAAACATTTGATTAAGAGACTTAGAGAACTTTCCTGGGGCACATGAGTGGGGCCGCTCCCGGAGGCCCCTTCTCACCGCTCGGCTGTGTCCCCTGGTGTTCACAGGTGTGCAGTGACTTTTTAGGAATCCACATTCTGGTGGGTATATTGTTAATTAAGCCCCTTAAAATTTCTGCATAAGTTAGAAAGAAATCCCTTTTTCTCAGAGCTATACACCACTTGCTCATCTGTTTTTGGAAAGAGACAAGATATAAATGATTAATAGAAACTGCCTATATCTCAACAGTAACAATGTCCAATCTTAGCAGAGTAAAGATGTTTTTTTTTTGTTTTGCTTTGTTTTCCGATCCACATTCCTGGACTTGTGTTGAATTTTCATTTTTAAATACATAGGACTTACTTTTTTTTTTTATTAAGACGTTACTTACTTATTTTTAGAGAGAGGGGAAGGGAGGGAGAAAAGGGGGGAAGTATCAGTCAGTTGCCTCTGGTACCTGCCCCAGCTGGGGACCGAACCCACAGCCCAGAGGTGTGCCCTGCCTGGAAATCGAGCTGGTGACCTCTGGCATTGTGAGACAGTATCCAACCAACTGAGCCATGCCGGTCAGGGCAGTACGTAGGGCTTCTTCTTTTCCCTCACAGCAGCACCATTCGTTCATTAGGCAGGAGCAAAGGGGCCGGATTTGGAGTCTTTCTCTAGCCATTCAGCCCCAGTGAGGAGGCACTGTCCCGTTTTCCTCCCACAGTGGTAAACTTCATGCACGTTCCTTCCCACAGATCACCATCATCTTCAAAGCCCACCGTGAGTGTACAGATCAGAAAGTGTACCAAGCTGTGACAGACGACCTGCCTGCTGCCTTTGTGGATGGCAGCACCAGCGGTGGGGACGGCGACGCCAAGAGCCTGCGCATCGTGGAAAGGGAGAGTGGCCGCTACGTGGAGATGCATGCCCACTACATGGGGACCACGGTGTTTGTGCGCCAGCTGGGCCGCTACCTGACCCTCGCCATCCGCATGCCCGAAGACCTGGCCATGTCCTACGAGGAAAGCCAGGACCTGCAGCTGTGTGTGAATGGCTGCCCCCTGGGCGAGCGCATCGATGATGGGCAGGGCCAGGTGTCTGCCATCCTGGGCCACACCCTGCCTCACAACCCCCTGGGACAGGCCTGGCCTGGCTACACACTGGAGACTGCCAACGCTCAGTGCCACGAGAAGATGCCGGTGAAGGACATCTATTTCCAGTCCTGTGTCTTCGACCTGCTCACCACTGGTGACGCCAACTTCACCGCGGCGGCCCACAGTGCCTTGGCGGACGTGGAGGCGCTGCACCCGAGGAGGGAGCGCTGGCACATCTTCCCGAGCAGCGGGCAGGAGCCGCCCCACGGAGGCAGCCACCGCGCTCTCGGCCTGGGGCTCACATGCTTGATCTGTATTGTGTTTTTGTAGGGGTTGTCTCTTATTTTTTGTCTATAACAAAATTTTTAAATATATATTGTCATAATATATTGAGTAAAAGAGTATATATGTATATACCATGTATATGACAGGATGTTTGTTCTGGGACACCCACCAGATTGTACATATTGTGTTCGATTGTTTTCACATATGTTGGATGTAGTGTTCTTTGATTGTATTGATTTTGTTTTGCAGTTTTGTGAAAAGTTTTATAATATCCCTGCCAGGGGACCTGTTAGAAAGCACTTTATTTTTTATATATTAAATATTTATGTGTGTACCTGTTCAGTATGTATAGTACATATGCACAGACACCGCACACAGCGTCCCCTTTGGACACGAACAGTGGTGATGTCTGTGGCTGTTCCCTCCCGCCCTCCCATTGCTACTGATTCCCACGGTGTGCAGCTTACACCCACCTCCTGGTGAAGCCTCCCCAGCGCTTCTGTCCTCACTGTCCTCACTCGATTCAGAAGGATAGTTCACTCCACCTTACAGGTGCTTTTGACTGTTAAAGACTGATGTCTAGGAAGCCTTTACCCTCTCCAACAGCTGTCACTTTTCCAGAGGGTGGAGAGAACACTACTACAATCCTTACTAAACTAGGGTGGTTGTACCTGAGCACTTCTGGTGTATTAAGTTGAACCATTTGAAACTGCTGTTTTTATGGGTCAGAAGGGGCTAGTGATGGCAATTTCACAGGTAAATACCAGGCACTTTGCTAGACTCCAGTAGCGCTCGATCTTTTTCTCATCCCATGTCCCTGTTTAAACGGTAGTCTTCTTCCTCTTTTAACTATTTTGCATTGAACAAACAAAACACAAAAACGCAACTTTAGATATTATGCTTGCTGTTGTCTGATTTGTGCGAGCCCACAGTCTTCGCCTTCCCTCCTCGACTCTTCGGGCCCAGAAACACACCGCCCCCGTCTCCACCCACAGTGAGCCCGCCTCCGCCTCGGGCACCCAGGGTTGCATCACAGAGTTTTCCACTCCACAGTCTTGGACACATCTGTCCGTATGATGGAATGGACTAGGGTGTCAATGACAAACACTTCTCAGCCTGCCTCAGGATGCAGCTAAACTCTGGGTGCTAGTTAATCTAGATGTTCTCCTTAAGCAGCGTTGCTCCTCAGGTGGTCTCTCTTCAATGAGATATTACTCCTCTTAACATCTATAGGCAAATAATATTTAGCTACTTATGTAACTTCATAAAGTCCCCTATAAAGTAAAAAAATCTTACTTCCCTGATTCCTTTATCAGCACTCCTCTGCAAAAGGAAAACACTACCAGTGACATCAAGCACAGTGACTGAGAAAGTAACTCCACAGTAGCTAGGTTTGTATTCTAAAATGCGTTTGATTCCAAGAAAAAGTGATAGAATTTGTAATTTGCCTTAAGTTTACATTACTGTAAACAAGAGTGAATAAGCTTTAAATACTAGAGTAATTTGGGTGAAGATTGTGCTGTCGTAGTCAGCCAGGTAGCTCTTCCTCGTGCCGTGTGTCATGGGTTAGGAGCACTAGCAGAGCCCAAGGTGGCAGGACATAAGGACATCATTTGAAGAAGTTCACTCTTAGTGAACCGATCTATCATCCAGCCACAGGATGGCACTGCGATTCATCCAGAGGTGGCAAACCTGTCTACCTTTTGCTATATAAGAATATTCTGCCCAGTCTAAAAAATAAAGTGTGCAGATAGTATAGAAGTGAAAACAAGGGTAGAACTTCCTATAGTATCTGGGTTTAGAGTGTATGGTTAATGTACCTTTAGCCTTTGTAGGGAAAGCAAAACCACCACCTTTACTAATGCGAAAAGAAGATTGGGTCATTTTGTCATATCATTTAACTGGAAAGGATGCTTAAAACCATCCTCCATCACTGGGTTGGTACTAGTGTGTTCGGCTATTCTCCCTTAACCAGTGTTCTGTACATACTCAGAGTCCTCACACACAACTGTTTCAGAAGTGCAGGTGATTCTCTGGAGAGGGGCAGCTTTATTATCTCCTGTTTCATTTCTAGGATTTCTTGAGAAAATGCTATTGCACATGTTGGTTCTTGAAATCCTCCTTAACCAGAGAGTTTTGGGTCATAGCAACCCATGGATAGGCTGTAGCTGTTAAAAGGTCTCCTGGGGAGCTTAAAACTTGGAGGAAAACACTGGTTTTCACAGATGCTCCACATGGCTGTCTTTTTAAAAGACTCAAAACATTTTTTTGCTCCCTTTTTTATGCTTGGAATTCCCACAGTGTGTCGAGTCTTTAGATGTGGTTCATAGGTATATGAATAAGTATCTGTGTAAAACTGTGAGTGTGCAGTGTGTAAATACTTTAAATTATTATGCTAGAAAAATAAAGTTACATACCATGCTGTGGAATGTTTGTTCTGTGATTATAGTGACACCTGCTGGGAGAGCTGAGGAACAGGAGCAGAAGGATGGAAGTGGGAGTGTTTGTGCAATATCCTGTGGTTACTGACAATGAGTTGTACCACCTGCCCGCAAACTCACTTATTTTCTCAACTATATCACTACTGTAGGGTTTTGTTTTTCTTTTTTAATTTTAAGCAACTGCAAATAAGTATCTGTGAGTCTGGCCCACTGGTGTTATCCCAAAGGTCTGTCTTGGGTCACAGTCTTGAGACTCTCAGACTTGGGACCTGCTCTTTGGTTCTTTCAAGGCAGCAAGAAGGCAACAACATACTCTTGGTGGGGAAGAGCTTGGGGGCAGGATTTCCCAGCTTTGGAACTTTAAATCCCTGCTTCTCGGGTGTTCTAAAAAGAGACATTGCAAGATGACAAGTTTTAAGAAACGTGCCAAAGGGTAGAAAAGCTTGAAAGAGAAAGCCAAACTGAAGACACAGGAAAGCCCCGTGACTGCTACGAGGTAGAGCAAGTTTTGATGAGAGGAAACAGATGTAGTCATTTCTTCAATGAAAAGCTGTGCAGACCAGAAGAAATGCAATGGGAAAACCGTGTCAGCTGAACCACACAAACATAACGGTACCATAGCCACTGAGAACCTAGTATGTATGTCTGTGCTGAGCGAACACTAAAAAAATAATATATAACACGATGAAGCCTATGCTTAAAGGCAGATATTCTTTAACACACTCGTACGTCCAGACTGCCAACTTTTCAAAGATTGAAACTTGAGCAACTATCCAAAATCCTAAAGGGGAGGCCTCTAACACTATTCTGTTGCCTGCAATCAGATGCGATGATAAGTCTTGAGTTGCTTCAGTTCTTTCTGAGCAAAGAGCTTGAACAGGTTCTCCCGGTCCCTTACATTCGATTGTGCACCAAGGAACATCCGCCTTCCCAGAGGGAATGGAATCAAGACATCGAAGAAAGAGGAGCCAGTTCACAGGTATTTCACTGCCTCGCTCACCATACTGTTTTTGCTTCCGTGCATTTTCTGCGTGTCTTCCAAATGGATAAGTCACACTAATACTATTACTCTTCACATGGTATTTTCCTTTGAATTTACTGATCTCCCCCTAAGTGCCTCCAGTAAGCAAGGTGTGTGGCACTATCAACTAAGTAGAATGTACAGTAGCCTTCTACTCAGCATGTGATGTGTGTGAGGTGTCTGCTTGGAGCGGGAATGTCTGTGTCTCCTCCCCCTTGTTCAGATTTGCAGGGAGAATGGGACATCCAGTGCCCCGGGGGGTACACTCACATCCTGCAGAGATGGGATGTATACTCTTGGCCTCATCAGAATGATGTTCAAACCAATTGAACAAATCAGTCCTGTCCCTTCAAATATATTAAAGTCAGCCCATCAAACTCCAGCAAGAAGAAAGCAACAGGGAATTATTTTCTAATTCAGCATTTTTCATGGGTGATAGCTCTATACCCACTTTCTATTTTAACTTCAGAAGAAGGAAAAATGTAAGCATTTTGCTGCCAGGTTGAATATACAAGACTGACCATGTGCAAATGAACCAAGTAGGAACTGCATTTTCCATAAATGACACTTTAAAAAACCAGGATTATCTCCATGGTGTTATTGGACAAGGCAAAGCCCTTCCTGAGCTTTTTAATAGGAAACAGTAAAGTAGGAGTCACTGAGGGGGAGAGGGAAGGAGAAATAAATTTATTTTCTAGCAAGACCGTCTTTTGACCTGGCAAAGAGCAACGCCATTAGTGAATGCGTCTCGGGCTGTCAGCGCAGCACGGACTGTGGGGAGAGCTATTGATTGGCTCGCTCTAAGTGCAAGGGAAGGATTCTGGGCCACAGTCACCACCAGAGTTCATCTTCCTCCTTGAGGAGAAGGAAAAGGAGAGTCATGACATAACTTCGGAGGGCACAAAGATGCTCAGGGTCCAGTCAAACTGGAAATCGGGGTGACACTTAGTGGCTGGGAAAGAAGTGAAAGTACCTCTGGGGTGCCGGGAGGAAGGGTGGTACAGGACAGGGGGTGCTCACAAACCAGATGACGTACAGAACACAGACTGATTACATTTGGGGCCATAAAGCCAGGATAGAGTGTTCATTTGTGTGTGACTGTTTATATTACATTTTCTATATACTGGAGAGGAGGTAACAAACAGCGTGGTGGTGAAGATCACTGACTGGGAAATTGCATCGCGGCGAGTTTAATAAGTCCAGCCACTTTCCTACCTGTGCAGCCTTCAACATGCCAAGACACATCCTCATCTTTAAAACAGGAATACTAAAAAGCCTCACACCTCAAACATCCCTTGTGAGAGTTCAGTGTGTTATTATATCTAAAGGTCTTAGCACAGTAGCTAGTACAGACCTAGTGTTCAACACACACTCCTCAAAAATGTACCTGAGATGGAGGACTCCATGTTCACTCGGGGGAACTAACGAGCCCATGAGCACTTCCTAGATACGCATTTGCATTTATGCCCCTGTGTACATTCCCGAATTTAGGGCTGGGTCAAAGTTCTATAGCCACCTGACTTCAAACATATCCAGGAGAGATGAATACTCTATCACGGCCCCTCAGAAAACGGATAAGACCACACACAAAGTTGAGTAACAGGGGCCTCCTGCTCTTCTCCTCACTGCAGCCACCCCAGAAATCTCAGCATAAACTCCTTAACATCCCTACAAAGAAAGTAACCCTGACTTGTAAGCAACCATTTGCACCAGACAAAACTTCATAGATTAAGCAAGGGTGGACTGAGGACAGGAAGAACTCTTAAAAAAGGCTGCTACCAGTGAAATCATTATTGGAGATTTCTGGTCATATATTAGACACCTCAGCGAACAGGAGAGAGAGAGACCCAGTTTTGGAAAGGGGCACTGCAATGCCTGTGTAGACTGGGTTGCAGATAAAAGGTTTGGAAACAGGGTCTCTAGTGCTCACATTAGAATCTAAACTCTTATCCAGAGGTCCCCTGCCTGTTCACAGCAGGCCATTACAGCATTCCTGGCCTATCGGACTTGCTTATAGCAGAAGATGAAGAAAGAGGAGAGTCTACCATGGTGGCTGACAGGCTCAGATTTGCTCAACGAAGCAAAATCCTTCCTCTGTGATCTTGGGATTTTTCCAGAGAGAGGAGACGAATTGTGAAAAATTGTCACTGACACGCAATGAAAACAGTAACATCGAATGAAAATTAGTGTAAAGAAAAGATTTTGAAAAAAACAATAGAAATGGGAAAGAGAAATACAAGGTGAAGGTGAAGTGTTTGGGGAACATTGTATACAGCTAATAAACACATGGAATGGAGACATAAAATAAAGCAGGCAGTGCTTGAGGTATTTACGGAGAAAAGCAGTGGCATGGAGGAGTCAGGTTATTCTCTGGTTCTCCAGAGAAACAAAGCCAACAGAAGAATATAGATAGAACACACACACATACACACACACACACACATATTACGGGCAAGAGTCAGTTGTTTATGTGAAAAAATGCAAATTGATAAGTAATACAAGAATAAGCTGTGTTTCACATACTCACAACTGTAAACTTACTTTTGCCAACCTGTGTGTGTGTTATTTTTTTTTCACACTCCATAAGCCTGAGACTGAAAAGAAGTGAGCCAAAGCCTATAACAGGACTTGTCAGAGACCACTGGTCTAGGTTCCAAAGACTGATGGTCCAAGAAGCAGGAACTATGCGAGGACAGAAGATGATGTCTGAGCTCAAGAATTCGTCCTTCCTCATTTTGGTTCTATTCAGGCCCCCAGGGGAATCGATGCCAATCTGTTCCAGAAAGACTCACCCAGAAATAGCATTTCCCAGCTATCTGGGCATCCCTTAGCCCAGTCAACTTGACACCTAAATTAACCATCGCATTCTCCTTTTATATATTTTCTTTCAAAAAAGTTATTATACATCCCTCAGGCATTGAAGGGGCAATACTTGGTTAGGAGTTTGTGATCACATGGAATCAAATTTCATCAAATCAACTCCCTCAACAAAAAGCAGGAAAGGAAAGATGGACTGGAAAGTCACAGAGGTTATCTCATAAAACCCAAGGGCGGGAGTGGAGCCAAGCCCACAAGGCTAGAAACAGAGTCTGGCAAGTTGATAGGGTCTCATCCTGCTTCTGCCGGCGCAGGCACCCTCTTCTCTCTTTGCAGGCTGATCTCTCTATCTCACAAGTACTGTTGCTGGAATGTGATCACCTCACACATCCACCTACAGCAAGTTCACATTCCTGGTGGGGCTGGGAGGATTTCTTCCGCCCAGCTCAGGCCAGATAAGGGAACTTAACACAAAATGGGCAGCGGTGTCTTCTCACTTCCCCACAGGTCTTAGTGAAGTTTCGGCTCTTTGGAGCTCTTGTGTATTAGTCATCCTCTGAGAGGCCCATCATTACCAGCCTATCTGACCCCCTCGCTTTCTACTCCCAAACCCTGCTTTATTTGTTTCTTTGCTAGCTTGCATTTCGTGATTATGTGTTTATTGTCTGTCTCCCTTCCTGGGATGCAAACTCCATAAGAACAGAGATTTACTATTTACTGTTTTGTCCACAGAGAAGACAATGTTGCCACTAGGTATCAATAGAGTATTTAAGGAAGGGAGGGAGGGAGGGATTAAAATTAAGGATGTCTAAGTAGTAGAACAAGGATTAGAAGAAATAGAGACTGGGGGAGTCAAGAATTAGCTGACAGATGTGATCATTAGAATCAGGAAGACTTCAAGCTTAGGATAAACACTATTTTCTGACGCATCTATCAATACCATCGAGATGGATGCTGTGCAAAAGGGAACCTGTTAATTTTAGAACTAGATGGATTTGTGTCCAACAGAGGGGAAGCAAAGGGATCTAATATTTGTTGATCATCTACCATGTCCTAGGCATAATGCAAGCACCTTGCAAACTCTGTGAGATCTGAGGGAAGTTGAGAGATTGAGTAATTAGACTATGATCACCAAGCAGTGAGGGTTGGA